CGCCCAAGAGGCCCCCAAGAGAGCCCCCTGATGGCCCAAGTGGCCTCCAAGATGGCCCCTAGAGGGCCCCAAGACGGCCCAAGCCCCCACGCCCAAATGGCCTCCAAGACGCCCAAGATGGCCCCAAGACGGCCCTGTCAGAAAGGCGTGCCAGGAACCCACCAAGATGGCCGAAGTTGGCTCGAAGCTGGCCCAAAAGGGCCCAAGAGGCCCCAAGAGGGCCTCCAGGAAGGCCAAAAGATGCCAAAATCACTGATTTCCCAAGGTTTTTGATGGATTTGGGCATTTCCCTTTTTTCGGCCTTCCGACGGCCCGAGACGGCCCAAGAGCCCCCAAAGATCGCCGAAAGATCGCCCAAGAGGCCTCCAAGACGGCGACGATGACCATCAAGACGCCCACGTGTTCCCCGAAGGCTTTCCAAACCGATTCGGGGAACACATGGTCCGATGGCTTGGCAGGTCTGGCCTCAACGTTCGGCCACATAGGCGCTTCCACAAAGGCAGGGGGCGGCGGTGATTCGCCGTAGGCGTCTTCGATACCTGCCTGGTGTCGGCGCTGGACTTCTCGCCCTCCCCCCTGGCGACCCGCCCAGCGCCGACCCACGAAATCCGAGCAGACGCGCGGAAGCTCACACCAATGCAGTGCGGAGCTCAACGAGAGCGGTCTTGGGTACCCTCCTCCTCGTCCTCCTCCTCCTCCTCCTCCTCCTCCTCCTCCTCCTCCTCCTCCTCCTCCTCCTCCTCCTTTTTTAGCCTCGACCGAAGACGGTGGAATCCAAGGAGCGCAAGGCTCTTCGGAGGACATCATCGCAACATGGTGCAAAATCAGTCGCACCTGCATCATGCAGCAGGACTGCTACCGCAAGGAAAACTTCCACGTGAACCCCAGGGCTTCAAACTCAAGAGTATGATCCGCCGCGTCCGCCGCCGCCGCCGTCGCGGAAATCTTGCGTGAACCTGAAGGCCCAAGGCGCCCTGGCATTCCGAATCCTTTCTGTGATCCTGTGTGAACCTGAGGGCCCAAATCCTGCGTGAACCTGAACCCTGTGTCTGAAGTGAAAAATCCGGTTCTCGACGCCCGTATACAGTGTGCTCCTCCTCTCGCCTTTCAATGGCAAATACACTGTCGAACAACCGTCGTCGTCCTCCTCCTCGTTTTCGTCCTCTTCCTCTTCCTCCTCCTCCAGCCACTCCTTTTCCTCAGATGGTCATTTTCTCATCGGATTCGTTGAGACAACGTCTTCTGTAGTCTTACGTAAACTCCTCCCCCCCCTCCTGCGATGGTTGTTCGTCCTCTCGGATTCGTTTCAGCGTCATCTCAGTTTTTCTTACCTTTTCCCTCCTCCCCCTCCTCCTCCAATTCATCCTCCTCCTACTCTTTCTCATCCTCCTCCTCCTCCTTCCCCCTCCTCCTCCCCCTCCTCCTCTTCCTTCCCCCTCCGCCTCCTCCATTTGAATGGCCCCGCTGGAGGGGGGTCACGCCACGCGGCCGGGCGCCGAGCGTCGCAAGACTCTGGCCCCCCCTTGCTCAGCAACGCGTCTGCCGTGAACCCATCGAGCGCGAGGCGGGGTGGACGCAAGCAGGGCGGGCCCGATCAAAGGCAAGAGCAGACAAGATGAACGCATGAGTATGCTCGATCGGGGCACAGGTGGGCACAAATCGGAGCACACGGTCGCTTGCAAAAGAGGGCAGGAAGAGAGGCCAACATCTCGGGGTCGGACACGGCGCGCGATGTCGCCACCACCACCCCGGAAACATTTCTGGTGGAAGAAGGTGCCTCACGCTGGCTTGCTACCTCCTCCACATCCTTTCAATTCCTTTGCCTTGTGGATACCTCCTCCTCCTCCTCATCCTCCTCCTCCTCCTCCTCCTCCTCCTCCTCCTCCTCCTCCTCCTCCTAAAAAACTGGCAACAGTTTCACAGATTGGGGGCGGGCGCCGCGCACATTCAATCCTGGAGAAATGCCACAGCTTCACGGATCGACGGAGAGACGTTTTCAAAATATGGTTCTCGCCACGACGCCGCGCACGCTCGCTAGAAAAGTGTGCAGGACCTGCACAGATCGAGGGCCGCTCGTTTTCAAAAGGCGGCTCTCGCCGCAGCGCCGCGCACAACTCGTTCTAAAAAGCTGCAGATGTGTCACGGATTGATGGCAGCTCCTTCTCAGAGTGTGATTATCGCCTCAACGCCGCGCACATCAGTACTAAAACGTTGCAAGAATGTCACCTCTCCTCATGGCTTATATACCAGAAACGTCATTTCAGAATGATTCAGGACCGTCAGGGCGCAACATCTACGTTGGTTCTCGGTGTTGAAGTCCCTGGAATATTTCCTGGCACGACTCAGGATCGTCAGGACGCGACAGTCAGGTTGACTCGTGGCGTTGAAGTCTTGGGAATGGTCTTCTGGCACGCTTCGGTCTTTACACAAGGCTGTCCTCCAACGGGGCACTTCCCTCAGTGGAAATGAACCCTTGCACGCGCCTGTGAAGAGGGAGGTTGGAGGGAGCGTGTATTACAACGTCGTCGATGAATCGTGGTTTTACATTGGTCCTCCCTCCTCCTCCTCCTCCTCCTCCTCCTCCTATTCTCTCTCCGTTTGACCTTGTACGGACCTGGATATGATCGTGGCGTTCTGCGGCTAGGAAAAATCAAGAGGCCGACATAGGCCAAGGAAAAACAAATTAGCCTGGCGGTCGCGGCGGACACAGAAAGGCGGCAGTACAAAAAGAAGAGAACATTAGAGCACGCGCTCGCCAGATCAAGGAAAAACTAGCCTGGTTAACCTTGGTACCTCAACCCTCCACAATAGTCTAAGGTCCTCCCTACTCCTCCTCCTCCTCCTCCTCCTCCTCCTCCTCCTCCTCCTCCTCCTCCTCCTCCTCCTCCTCCTCCTCCTCCTCCTCCTTTCCGTCCCCTTTCCACAGCGGCACCCCGCCCCACCCGCTCACAAGGGTTCAAGGCCAGCGGCCAAGAAACCAACGTGGTCAGAGCCTCCCCTGCCTCATCTTCCTCATCCTCTCCTCCTGGGCACGACAGAATGGGTGGTTGAGAAACAATGGCATGCGACGGGGAATCAGAATAACAATAGGGATCATCATCAGCACCATCATAATCAGCAGCAGCATCATCAGCAGCAGCGTCAGCATCAGCATCATGATCAGCAGCAGCAGCTGCCCCATCATCATCAGCAGGATCATCGTCGTCACCAGCATCATGTGTGTGCATTCGTCCTACGTCATCCTCCTTCACCTCCAATGGTCCTCATCGACATCATCGCGAAGGCCACCAGCATCACCACTGCCACCACTGTCGTCATCATCAGCATCGTCATCATCCGCATCATCAGCAGCAGCAGCATCATCAGAATCGTCATCATCATCAGCACCACCACCACCACCACCAGCGGCATCAATACCAGCATCAGCGCCCACCGCACAAGCATCGTCGGCGTCATCATCATCATCATCATCATCATCATCATCATCATCATCACCATCATCATCAGCAACATCATCATCATCATCATCATCATCATCATCATCACCATCATCATCAACCGTATGTGCAAGACCAATCGCACTGCGCTGCTCGCATGTAATTCAACATGTATACTCCCAACCCTCGACCCCCGCCCTCTTCGTGTATGAATGTACCCCTCTGAAGCCTCTGTTTCATGCCTGCTCATGGCTCCACGGACACGGTGACACAGCCGGGTCGGGCGGGCGAACCCAAACGGACGCGTCGGGCGGGCGGACCCAAACGGACGGGTCGGGCGAGGGGACTCTACTGGGCGAAACGGGCAGGCGGGACATCAGATCAGAGCGGGCGGGTGGGATGGAGCGCTTACAGACTGGGGAACAGGCGAAACCTAACGGGCGGGTCGATGATCATCATCATCATCATCATCATCATCATCATCATCATCATCATCATCATCATCATCATCATCATCATCATCATCATCATCATCATCATCGTCATCGTCGTCGTCGTCGTCGTCGTCGTCGTCGTCGTCGTCGTCGTCGTCGTCGTCGTCGTCGTCGTCGTCGTCGTCGTCGTCGTCGTCGTCGTCGTCGTCGTCGTCGTCATCAACATCATCGTCAGCATCCTCATCTGCTTCATCATCAGCATCATCAGCAGCAGCATCAGCATCATCATCAGCATCGTCAGCATCATCAACAGCATCAGCATCATCATCATCATCATCATCATCATCATCATCATCATCATCATCATCAGCGTCATCGGCATCGTCAGCATCGTGATCACATTATCATGAGCATCGCCATCGTCGTCAGAATCATCAGCAGCATTATCATCATCTTCATCGTCAGCATCATCATCAGCAGCAGCATCACCATGGTCATCATGACCATCATAATCATCAACAGCAACAACAAGCTCATCCTCATCCTCAACCTCATCCTCATCCTCATCCTGCTCCTCGTACTCGACCTCCTCCTCCTCCTCGTACTCGACCTTCTCCTGCTCCTGCTCCGCCTCCTCCTGCTTCTCCTCCAGCGCAAGCGGGAGCGCGCACGAAAGAGAGGAACACGGGGTTGGGAGGACAGGGGGAAGGAGGAGCTACAGGAGATGGGGAGAAATGAAGGAAGAAGAGGACGAGGAAGAGGAGGAGGAAGAGGAGGGGGTGGGAGCTGGATTGTTGACAGCAGGCTGCTTCTCGGACCTTGCGAACATCAGAGCAGCAAGGATCAGACTGGGTGACCGAAATCTGCGGTCAGTCCGACTCTTCTGAGACCCGCCAGCACACGACTCGGCCTCCTCCTCCGAGCGCAGACCCGAACGAATGGAGGTGGGCTGAGCTCTCCCGGTGTCATCTGTTCTGAGAGGAGGAGCGTGGGAACTGGCGGCGGAGGGCGACGAGCCCCATGGCCTCAGGCCCCGCTCCGGAGCAGATTGGCACAGGAGGGCTGGGTGAGGGCTTCGCTCTCCTCCTCCTCCTCCTCCTCCTCCTCCTCCTCCTTGCGAACCTCCCGCCTGACAGCTGACACGTGGCTGCCTCGCACTCCAGCCGAAGACCCTCGGCAGCCAGGGACAAGGCCTCGTCTCGATGCGGGCCAGGTTGCCTTTTTGCTACCGTTGGCTGACGCCTGCCCGCATCCGCGGACTCGCCGCCTCGGGTCCGCCGTGGCAGTCCTGCCACAGACAGGGCAGAAGTACAGCTGAAAACGCGGCCAAACATTGAGAGCGCGCGACTCACAACCACGATCCCGACGCGTGCCCCCGAGGATACCATCAAGCACGCGCCTTGCAGCATCGTGCCCACCGCCAGCCGTGGCACCCAACGCCCAGCATCGTAATGCAGGTCCCGCCCGCCAACCCGGATCACTCCGCGCACCGCCCGAGTCTCGTCATCTGCCGTGGCTGCAGCTCCCAGGAGAGATTCCCGCCCAAAGCAAAACAAGGCGCATATATTATAGCTATGACTTGGCTTGACAAAAACGGGGCTGTTCGCCGTGATGGAATTTTCCCGACTGCCCTGCTTCGCTGGCCCCGTGGGCCCCACGGGATTATTCGCCCATTCAGTTCCGCTGAGGTCCCAGCGAGGCCAAAGGAAGGAGACCCATCGAGAGCTTGCACACAGCTTTGGCGATTTTGATATGCCTCTGCAGCTCAGCCTCTCCTTTGTCCGGCCAGCGAGGACGCGTGGCAGTGCCAGCCTTCGCCGCAGAATCCGCAAGCTGGTTACCACGTCGCCTCCAGCACTCATCCGAAGGGATGTCTGGCTCCTATGGACTCAAATGAGCTTGCAGCTTACCAACGTAAGGCTTATCATGGCTCAGCGGTTCGGCTGCAGAAGCAGAGCAAAGCTTGGCAACGTTTGATCAATCGGGAGCCAGCAAACTGAAGCGAGCCCATGGCCATGACATAACACTCTGCCGCCTGAGACGAACCAATGAAAAGGCCAGGCACGTGTCTAGGGGAACAAAAAGTGACATAAACATAAAAACTCGGAGGTCCGCGCGGATTTCTCGGATCGGCGCTGGGGCCCCCCCCCGGCGCCTCTGGCGCCGCCCCTGGCGCGCTCCGCGCGCCAGGGAGGGGGGTCCAGCGCCGATCCGAGAAATCCGCGCAGACCTCAAGTTTTTATGTTTATGTCACTTTTTGTTCCCCCAGTGTCCGACACGCGCGCCCGCCCCCCCACCCCCCACCCTTCACCCCCACTGATCTGCGCCATTCCCCATCCCGACCTCTCTCGTTCGCGGGCGACGCGTCGCGCGTAGCCTCCCTCCGGAACAAGCAGAAACTGCAAAATCACCGTCGTCTCCGCCGGGGTCGGTCGAAGACATCTTCGCTGTCTCTGACGCAGCTGAGCGAGGGCGAACGCCTCCTGGGCGAGAGGGGACGCCCCCGGCGAAAAGAAACGTTTCGTCATTGTCCTTCGCCGCCAGGGCATGTCAACCATCTCCTGCCCCACAGCCTCAACTCTTTCACCGCCGCGGGCCAGGCGCAGCCAGGCGCGGCGACGTGCAGTCCACGTGCTGACATTCCGCCGATTGTCATTGATCGCACGCCGCACGCACAACTGGGTAATCGCCCTCGATAAACCATGGGCTCGGCAATCGGCTCGCAACATACCAGGAGTTGAACGTCTCGAACAATTCGGCCACGTCGCAAAGGACGGCCCCTGACACTCCACCTTTGGACGCCCCGACCTCCCAAAAGACCGGCGCCACGCGACTCCGGAGCTGGGCGAAACAACAATCCGCAAAGCGCCCACCGCGACGTGACAGCCCTCACCCTTTCGCAAACTGCCGCCCGCGCCGCCCCCGAAGGCGGAGCCGGGATGCAAAGAGCCCAGTGGGGCGCCATCCCCCCGAGGGTTCCATCAACACAAAAACCTCAATGACCCCTGACCCCGAGCTCCTCGGGCCGCGCCCACGGGACTTGCACGTCCGAACAATCGACGAAACCACTCCTGAGGGCTTCATCAGAAAGCCATCTGCAGTGCCCCACGCGAAAACCGCCAGCCGCCCGAGTTGGACGCTCGACGCACAAGGCAGACACAGCGCGAATAGAGGGAGGGGGGAAGGGGGGAGGGCGCGCTGGACCCCCTCGAAGCCCCTGTCATTGGAGGGGGAAGAGCAGGCTTGCCAATTATTGCTGAACTCATCACTCTCCTGCCTTCGGACTGCGAGCGGGCCAACCACAACGCACCCTACACCGCGGACGAAGGTCGACGGCTTCCGCCCTGGGGCTGGCTTCCAAGCAAGGCGAGCGCTTCGCCCTCCGCAATCAGCGCCCTCGAGCCACCGCCCCTTGAACCCCCGCCCCGCTAGACTCCGCGGCAACGTTCTTGCCCCCCCCCCACGCACACACAACCCTGATACGAAACCTTCGCCCGCCAGCAATATGGGCCAGGTCTGCAATCCAGGGCAAGCGCTGGGCACTGCTCCAGGGAATTGTCGCGCGCCCCTTCGCGTCGGGCACGGACGGAGGCGGGTTGGCCCCGCTGCCGCGCAGGGCGGCGCTGACGCAGCCAGCTGCCAGCAGCCAAAATACCAGCCGAACACGACTGTCAGGCAACTGCATCGCCGCCATCACTGGGCACGCGACGGGAGGGGCCTCAACCCCCCAGCGAAGTTGAGGCACGCGTGCTCGGTTTCCGTTAGAAAAGAAGCTCGACCTGTCCGATCCTGGCCAGCTCGACTTCGGCCTTTTCGCGAAGCTGGAGCACAGCTGGCCCAAGGCAGCCTCGCCCCGCGAGACACCCCCATCGGCGGCCACATCAAGGGCCTCGCGGCCGCAACCAAGAGCGGAAGGCAAAGACGGGAAGGCGGGGCGGGGCCAATACGCCCGGCACGCGGCAAGACGGGGTGCCAAGGACCAAAAAGGAGAAGGCGCGGAGCTGAGCCGCCCCCAGACGCAACCCAACCTAGACGGGGGGGCGGGTCTTCATCGCGGCGCCCACCACCGACTGGATTTCCTCGATTTCATCGACAACCTCAGGGAGCACCACGAAACAATGAAACAGGCGGCCTCGGCACCGCCCCTAATGGTCCGCCCAACCGGTTTCGAGGAATCCACTTAAGGAGGGGAGCCATGTTGAACCCCCCCAGATGCATTCCTCGCCAAGAATCGCAAGGACCCCCCCTGCGCTGCTGCGAAGATCTAAATTAGATCTCCGGAAGACCTTGCTGGTCGCGCAGGTAGGGGGAGCCGACGCGCATCGGCCACGCACCGGGGAGGCGGGCCATCGCAGCGACTGCGCGAACCGCGGGCAGACCGAGGAACACGCCCGGCTGCAGCGCGCAGCGAATTCCAAGCCAATCTCCGGCCACGACACCGACGCCTCCGCCAGCGCCTCCTCCTGGCCCAAGAATCGCTCTTGAACAGACATGTTCCCCACCCGTGTCACAAGCACCAGCTCTCCACTCCCAGTGGCGGTGGCCCACGGAGGTGGTGCTCCTGAATACACATAGCGCGTGATCGCGTGATCTTCAGCCACTCGCGAATCGAACCCCGCCCCGAACATTTGCGAGTCTCGAACAATGCGCAAAATCGCCCCGCAGAAAAGGGGGGACCTGGATCAACCCGTCCCGATGCACCTGGCCGCACAGAACCACTACCTCAAGGACTACCTCGGGCCTCGCCGGCGCCCGAGACGTCGAGCTGGAACGAAGCGGCCCCAGGGTCAGAACCCGCCTGATATAAACTCCAGGGTTAGCCAAGCGAGCCCACGCTTCACCGCGCCCCCCGCCCAAGATCCACGAGCGGACAATTTGCAGGAGGCACTGCTGGAAAAAACAAGGAGATACTAAGCAGTAAGCCTGGAACGCGAAACTTGGAACAGGCGAGTATCTAACCTCCCAGCCTCCCACGCACCCTGCACGGTGCAAACTGTTCCGTTTGTCTGGCCAACTCGGAGCTAGCAGATCTTACCTGGCGAAACTCCCCGTTGCTGGATCCCGCCTGAAAGCCCTGCTCACGCAACCTCGCTCGACGCATGAGAAGGGTCAGAAGCACTCGTGGACCTTTACTCGCGCGACCCCAGCAGCAGGCATTGCGGACGAGGACCCAAGGAGGTTGGAGGCGCGGGAACGAAAAGCCGAAGACGATGAGGTTGACGTTGCCGCTGACGCAGCTGCGCTCGCTGGTGCCGATTGCGCAGGCGCCGCTGCGGGCCTGGGGGCAGCGGGAGTTCCACCTCCTGCAGCTCCTGATTGGGCGGCAGTTGCAACAGCCCCGTCTCCTTCATCACTGACTTTCCTTTCTTGGCAGACAGACGCTTGATAGGCTCCGAGTGCTCATTTCGGAAGAAAAAATAACTGGCCATTTCCTGGAGATGACCTCTGGGTGCGTCCGCCCAATGTGGAAAAGAAAACCTGCGTGCCTTCACTGGATAACTCGTAGTGTTCCCCGATCGCGACGAAGCTCTCTCTCTCTCTCTCTCTCTCTGTCTCTCTCTCTCTCTCTCTCTCTCTTTCTCTCTCTCTCTCTCTCTCTCTCTCTCTCTCTCTCACTCTCCTCCGCATCGTAAATTTCGTGGCCCAGCTTCCCGTCCACCAGGATTTTGACATGCAATGTGACTGACGATTGGGGTTCGGCAGCCTCTCGTACTCTTCCAACCACGATACTGGCCAGCTCCGCCACGACATTTTTGAACTCCTCATCAGCGGTTTGAAATCCCACCAGCCCTCTGGGCGTCGGTGGTTTAGGGAGGTTCCTCTTCCACCACTCCTTCTTCCCCTTCGGGGAGGGGCTTACCCCTCCCCCTACCCCCTCCCCTGGACCTGGTCAGGGGGTTCCGCGTGGTGTCGGAGCGTCCAAAACAGCCTCGGCGAGGAAGCCAAAATCATTGGTTTTACCAAGGTTTTGGCCCCATGCTGGCCTCCTGAAGGGGGGACGCTAATGAGTATCCCCCCCCTCCTGTGATCGATCTCACTCAAGATGGCCCCAAGAAGCGCCCAGGAGGCCCCCATAGTGCCCCAAAATGGCCCCAAGAGTGGCCAGGAAGCCCCAAGAGGACCCCAGGATGCCCTCAAGAGGCTCCCAAGAGACCCCCACCAGCCCTCTGGGCGTATATGGTTTAAGGAGTTTCCTCTTCCACCCCTCCTTCTTCCCCTTCGGGGAAAGATTTATCACTGTTCCCTATTAATATACACCCCTTTCCCAAGCGACCGGGAGCCAACCCAGGTCCATGCGGGCCCCCCCTACCATCCTTTTGTACAAACTATATAAAACGCACTCTGTCCCCACCATCCCTTTTAAAAAAACAATACAACACACACTGTCTCCAAATTCAGAACATGCGCAGCGAAGCCGATGCGGCCTCCCCCCACCATCCCTGTCAAAAAACAATCCAGAGTACACTTGGCGGCGGCGGCGGCTGCGGCGGCTGCGGCGGGGGCAGCGGTTGCGGCGGCTGCGGCGGTGGCGGCGGCGGGGGCGGCGGCGGCGGCGGCGGCGGCGGGGGCGGCGGCGGCGGCGGGCGGTGGCGGCGGCGCGGCGGCAGCGTGGCGGCAGCGACTGCGGCGGCAGCGGCTGCGGCGGCGGCGAATTGACAGCGGGGGCACGGGGGGCGGCGACAACGGCGGCGGCAGGCGGCGCGGTGGCGGCGGCAGCGGCGGACAGCGGCGGCGGCGGCCAGCGGCGGCGGCGGCCAGCGGCGGCGGCGGCTGGCGGAGGCGGCGGCGGCGGAGGCGGATTGGCCCCCAGTAACTGCCCGTCCAAAGACGATTGCTGCATATGCTACGGCTCGGGCAAAGCTCGGGTGTTACGTATGTGTTGGGAGGGCGGGTGGGAGTGAGCGAGACGGCTTGCGGGCGAGGAGGGAGACTCTTGACTCCTCCCCCATAACCCCTCCCCTGGACCTGGACAGGGGGTTTCGCGCGGTGTCGGAGCGTCCAAAGCGGCCTCGGCGAGGAAGCCGAAATCATTGGTTTTACGATGGTTGTGGCCCCATTCTGGCCTCCAGGGGGGAGCCCTGATTAAAGCTCCCCTCTTCTTTGATCAATCTCCTCCTAGATGGCCCCAAAAAGCGCCAAGGAGGCCCCAAGAGGTCCCAAGATGGCTCCAAGATGGCCCCAAGAGGCCCCCAAGAGGCCCCCAGGAGGCCCCCAAGAGACCTCAAAGAGGCCCCAAGAGACCTCCCAGAGGCACCCAAGATGCTCCAAGAGGCCTCGGCGAGAATGCCAAAGCGGCCTCGGCGAGGAAGCCAAAGTCATTGGTTTGACTTGGGTTTTGGCCCCATTTTGGCCTCCTGGGGGGGGACGCTAATTAATGTTCCTTTCTTGTTTGATCGATCTCGTCCAAGATGGCCCCAAGAAACGCCCAGGTGGCCCCAAGAGGTCCCAAGATGGCCCCAAGATGGCCCCCAGAGGCTCCCAAGAGGCCCCCAGGAGGCCCCCAAGAGACCCCAAAGAGCCCCCAAGAGACCCCCCAGAGGCACCCAAGATGCTCCAAGACGCCTCGGCGAGAATACCAAAACGGCCTCGGCGAGGAAGCCAAAATCCTTAGGGTTTTGGCCCCATTCCTTGAGGGGGGACGCTAATCAACGCTCCCCTCTTGTTTGATCGATCTCCTCCAGGATGGCCCCAAGAAGCGACCACGAGGCCCCAAAAGGTCCCAAGATGGCCCCAAGATGGCCCCAAGAGGCCCCCAAG